GCATGGTGGTGGAGGTGAAGATCCCGACCCACTCTTCGGGAACCTATGGATCTGCGGCATAGTGCTGATCCTCATCGGGGCAATCTGGGTGAGTAAGGCAGCTTTCATGTCTTTGAGATGCTGCTTGAAGAGATTGCATGGAGTTGTCAGCAGGCCACCGGTCCAAGAGGAGCTGTATGAGAGTGAGGAGGAGGAAAGGACTACACCACGGCGACCAAGGCGACAGAGGACGGAGGAGCAGCAACCTGTGGCACATGAAGATGAGTCTGCCACACCGACTGAGGAGGAGGAGACAGAAATGAGTGAAAAGCCTCAGCGTCAAGGGGTGAGCAGCCGGGAACAAACTATGACGCGGAGGAGGTCTTTGTCCAAGCCTATAAGGCGGCGATCGGGCTCTGCGAGCGGGTCTTCATCGAGAACGATGAGAAGAAGTTCAAGTGGGCCTGAGTCCGCGGCAGCACGAGCCGCCGGCGAGGCAGCTGAAGGTGCTGAAAGAGCAGCGGAGTCTGCGCAGATTGCAGCGGATGCAGCGACCCAAGCTGCTGAGAGCGCTGAAGCGGCCACTGAGATGCTTCGGGTGTTGGCGGGGCCGCAGGCCGCATCGATCCAAAGGATCGCAAATAGTGGTCCAAGAAATCCATGGAACCACTTTCAGCAAACCCATGCCAAAAAGGGCTGGAGTATGCAGCAGATGCGCGCCGAATACTACAAGGAGAAGAGCCAGCGTAAAGTGCCTTGAGCCTGGCGCTCCTTTTTCCTTTCAAATTTCGCCAGAGAGCGAAAGGGGGAGTCTGTTGCTGTGGTGAGAGCATCATAGCATACACGAGAGTACATACCGAAGGCACTTTTGATGTCAAGTGAAAAGGCGCGAACCCTTGTGTTTCAAGACTGTAATTTAAGAGACAGCTGGCTCGTCCAGAACCACATTCATGCCTACTAGCTTTCTGCTGCTGCGCGTAGCTTTCTCAACGACCTGTAGTCTAATTCGACCGAGGCCCAGGCTTCGTCGGCAGAGACCAGTTTGATGTTGTGAATGTTGCCGGTTCTTGCGCTCGGTCCCATTTGTTGTGGCAAGGTATCTCATGCATGTACCTGTTTTCCCATGTTTCCCCCTTGCGGCTTGCATTCATGCAAGCACAGAAATCCCAATTCCCTTTTGTTAAGATCGTTTACATTTCATGCGGGCAAGGCACAAGTCCGGCTGCCGGACAAGAGCTAGTAGTAGATCTGGCGAGGCAGGAAGCCGTTTGCGAAAGTCGCTCGGTTCCAGTTGTCGGGTGGTTCACTGCGTACTTTCAGCTCGGCAACGTAAAGAGAAATGGACCAGCCAATCCTTGTTGTGGAAATTGAGCCATGTGCCATTAAACCACGTAGGTTCCAGCTGATTTCGCAAAGCCTTTGCAACAGTCTTCCTGAGAAGCTGTGGGGCAGCTTTCTGGCAGGGCAAATCGAGGACATCCAGCATGCTCAATCATGTTGCTTCTTTGTTTGGTATTTCCATGCGGCTCCTTGTGCCCCTTTGCTTTAGTGACTTTAGTGTTTCAAGCGATGCAGCGTCCACTGATACAAGTGTGGTTTTACAGTAGCAGAAGTCGAATAAATGTGAAGTGTGTCTCTTCGCAGCTTGCAAGTTCAAAGAAGTGACGTCAAAGACAAGTCTTTTGTTTGTGAGTGCATGTGTGTGTGTTTTTTCTCTGCAGGAGCCCTGTCCTTTTTGAAGAGACACAGGCCCGTTTGAAGCAACATTCGGTGCTGAGGACAATCATCCATGACAATTGGAACCTTTTGCAGTCTCGACATACCTTGACAACTTGTAGGATCTCCGGCTTTTGCTTGCACATGCTTGGACCAGTTAGTGTCAGAGTTATAAGATAAATGACGTTTTGCTTTTTACCAGACTGCTTCGCAGGCTATGGTCCAAAGTCCATGATATCCTTCGTGCTCACTCGTTACACAGCAGATATTCGTGAAGCAATCGTTGAGACACGGGGGGTTGAGAGTAGATGGCAGACTCTAGCAATCTTTTGCAGACAATTTTGGGTGGGCAGGCCGCGTGTGCGAATGCAACTTCAAGGCGTGGCGTTGTCCATTTTGATGCAAAACCTTGTCACTTGTAACCTTCCAGTACCCCACAGGTGGAAGGGCTGCGAGGGGTGGGATGGACAGATTGTACTATACTCGGTGGGTATGATATTGCACACCATGTTTGCAGGGACCCATGCACACCACTTGTTCTGTGCAGGGCCATTTGACATCTCCTTGGAAGTGACTACGGCATACATCACTCATCAGCACAGGTCGTACAACCTTCGCCAAACGAGAAACAGTTGCCAGGAACTGATGTTTACGGCACTGTGCTTTCTTGTATACTGAAAGGGCCAGCTGTGGGATGCTGTGGGCCACGTGATTTGGATGATTTGGTTTTGGTCAGGGCCGCTTCTATCGGTTCTACCTTACTTTGTGTGCCGATCTGAGGTTTCGGGAAGCGAAAGGAGTAGATCATAGTAGATCACAATTGCAGGAGAGCAGAAAGTCCCTGAAGTTTGGAGAGCAAGAGGCCAAGGCGCGAGTGCTTCCGACGTGGGAACGCAACTTGACAAGAAGCTCTTGGCTACGATTGTTTGAGCGCAGTTCAGTTTCTCTGGCCTTTGCCCGACTGCATTCCAAGAGAGCTTTGCCGCGCGCGATCCGTTCACTCAAACAAAGCCAGTGTGGTTCAAATCGAATCCAAAGATTGTTGGGAGTGGAGTTTCGGTTGATTCACCTCGGCATGGGTGAGAACTTGACCTTTCCACAGTGGGAGGCGGGGTCGCAAGACGGCACAGTTGATATATTCAGTGCTTTTGCTTTGTTTTGACACAACACACGAGACCTCCAGGGTTTCAGACTCATGCCTCGTCCAAACCTTGGATGCTTTTGAGGTTCATGTGTTTCCTGGGAGGGCTTTGTTGGTCTCCAATCCTGCCAGGTTCAACTGCAGTGGGACAAGTTGAGGAACCTGCAAAAAGGTGAAGTGTTTGAACAAAAATACGATTTTGCTGGGCTGGAGGTGACTTTCCAGTTTCGTCGTAAGGATAAAGTGCCATCATTGGATATCAGGTCAATTTTTGAAGTTTTATCATCAGAACTATCATCAGAAATTGGCGGGGACATTGCTTTTCGCTGCAGCGCACCAGTGATCCTTCAAATTCACGCCGTGGATCGCCCCCAGTTGGGAAGAAAAGTCTCAGTGAGACAAGGCAATGGCCTCTCAGGGTCAGTTCCCGCTTCAGTCGTTTGCGGTGAAGTTCGCGTTTTTGTGGTCAGAATCCTGGAGATCAGAGGGATGAGCATCGCCTGCAGGATTGCTAACTCCCTGCAGCAGCAGGAAAGAGCTGAGGCACTGCAATCGAAATGTGCTGAGCTTGAGAATCAACACCAGCAAGATGCTCAGACAATTGCTAAGACCCAAAAGAGGGCCGAAGCTTTGCAATCGAAGTGTGCTGAGCTGGAGAAGCAGCACTACAGAGATGCTCAGACAATCCATCAGGCTGAGAATCAACACCAGCAAGATACTCAAACTATTGTCGAATTGCAAGCGGCATGTGCGGCATGTGCCCAGCTTGAGGAGCAACACCAAAGAGATGCTCAGACAATCGCTCAGCTTGAGAAGCAACACCAAGAAGACGCCGCCGAGCTGAAGCGCTTGAATGCCATAGTCGGAGAAACAGAGAACCAAGCTGCAGACAGGACGAAGATCTTGGTCAATGCCTCAGTGAAAATTCAATCCAAGTGGCGTTCATTTCTGCAGCAGCAGCGCTTGCAGCGAGACTCTGCTGAGCAAGATCGGCGGAACAGGCGCCTGAAGGTGGAGAGTGCAATTGCATCTTTCCAACGCCTGTGGCGCTTGCGGCAGAAGAGGCGCCAGCGTCGGTGGCAGCTCGCACAGAGCATGGAAACGGAGACAACACCCTACGATGCCATCCTTGCTGTCACCTCCTTGGCTGAGTTCCTCTCAACTCGGGAGATCAAGTTCCTCCAGAAGGCAGAATCACACTTTGAGATTGCCAAAGAAAGCCGGTATCGGATCCTGGCAGTGGTGGGCTTGTTTGACAAGGGCAAGACGTGGCTCATCAACAAGTTGTTTGGGGTGAAGTTGGCTTCAGGCAAACTTTGCACCACAAAAGGCTTGAGCTTCCTGTGGATCAAAGAGAGGCGCATGTTGGTCCTTGACTCCGCGGGTGTGCAGTCTACTGTGTCCTACAGGGCACAGGCGGTAGATGCAATCCATGATGCTCAGACCACAGAGTCCTTGATGTTTGAAATGGTCTCCCGAATTGCTCATCACATGGTTTTCGTTGTGAATGACCTCACTTGGTTTGAGCAGAAACATGTTGCGATGCTTCACCAGAAGTATGTCCAGTCCAAGCAACACAAGGAGCTCATCGTGGTCCACAACTTAAGGAACACCACAGATGTGCAAGAAGCACGGAAGCTTTTCCAACGTCAAGTGATGCTTTGCTACGATGGGGAGCCCTCGCATTTGGGCCAGCTGATTTTCACGGCGGACGCCGGAGAGGGGGCTCCACCAGTACATCATGTGGGACTTTGCCATGAGTTCTCAGTGGCAGGAGAGGCATTCAACTCGAAAAATCGAGACTACCTACTTCAGAGCTTGGAGCATGGAAACACGCTTGGCTCCAACATTGTGCTCACTGACTTGCTGTGTGCTGAGCTGTCGCGGCTGTTGCCCAAGTTTGTCAGCATTGACAACACAGAGCCAGAGGCATCAGAGAGCACACCATGTCCCATGCTGTTTGTGAAGTTCAAGTCTCGAGCTGAGAATGCTGACACACATGTTGAAAGTGAGGCCTATGCTCCTTTGGGCAGCATGTGCATACATCTCTCTCCAGAAAAGGCTCACCTTTCCACCAAGACGCGTGGTGTCATTTCGCCTTTGGGAGAGATCATAGCGCATGACGTGAGCTTTGATCCCAATGTGAATGTCTTTGACAAAAGCATCAGTGCGGGCATCCAGCGCTACATTCGTGTTGAATGTCCCGGAGTGGTTGATGATGATATCCAGTGGGAAGAGCTGCCAAATGGAGTGAAGATTACCATCAACAAGAAACCTCCCATCGAAGAGCATTCAGTTCATCCAGTTCAGCCGATCAGGTGCCACCGTCAAACGCGAAAACGTTGAAAGAATCGCGCACATGTCACACTCACCAGAGGGGTCAAGGGCTTTGGGCCAAAGGGAGGTATTTCATTGTATTTCTACATCATAGTAGCAGTAACATACAGTTGGGCATGTTGGCATTCTGGCAACTTAACAAGTACTTGAAAGAGCAGAATCTCGTGCCAGTCACGCAGACCAGGCAGCACCACGGCATTTGGGAGCGCAAGTTTCTCTTCGACCATTCCGATGGCCGCTTCGAGCTTTGCGAGGAGGAGGCCGAGTTGGAAGGCGGCGTCCTCACCATTGTTTTGAGGTGGCTCGGCATAAGTCACCGTTGACATGGTGCCGAGCCATGTCACTGTTGACATTGTATAAGTCACCTCCTGACACAATTGAATCTATGTATTTTTTTTGCACATAACTATGTCATGGTCCACCATTATATATATCACCGTTGACATGGTTGACATGCTTGCTCTCATGTCATCCAGCATTGTGAGTTGACGTGAGCATTGTTTAGTGTGGCTTGAGGGGCACATCCTGTCGAATCATTGCAAGCTGAGAACAACAAGACAAAGACATTTCATTGTCATGATGTTTGGGCTATTGTTTTTGACCTAGCTTGTTCATTGTCATAATTGCCTCCAACAATGCATGTTGAAAACAAGATAATTACATTCGTTGTCATGGTGTTTGACTTAATCTATGATTATGTTAATCAATGTTTTGATGTTGTTCCGTCGATTCAGCCCATAGCAGTTTGTGATTCCTTCCACAAACAAATCCAGATGGCAAACACATACTGGCCCTCAGAGATGTCCAACCTGCGCAAGAAGAATCTCAGATTTTATGTTCCGCGCCGTGGTGTTTAACAAAACGGTTTCATCCGAAGCCGCGCGGCAGCCGAGCTTGTTGACTTGCTTGGCCGAGGAAGTCGTTGCAGCCTCGAAAGGGAAAGTTCCAAGGGAAAGCTCGGGCAAGCGGGTCCTACCAAGCATCAGGCTGGCTCAGTTCGCCTAGGGCATGTGTTTTGCGTTTAATCTTAGCACCAATCCAGCTGTGTTTGTATAGTTCAGAACTGTTTGCGCAGCAAGCGTCTTTGAGAGGCGAGGCTTTAAGGTTTGGGCTTAACTAAACGATGTCATCTCATCACGTTTCATGCTGTGTTTTCGAAAGATGTAGCTAACAGACTCAGTGACTTCGGCAACTTGGGAAGGTCCAGCCGCCCTCTGAGTGCACAACTTTCGACATGGTCCCAAATGTCAAGCTGCTTGCAAATGGTGTGCAGGTCTGACAGAAATAGGTGGTGAGAGCCTTTACACCATTGAGACCTATTGAGACCCTCATAGAATTTCGGGGGCCTCACTAGATGGCAATGTGAGGGCACTTGCTCCCAGTTTGACTTGTCATTTTTGAAGGATAAGGAGGATTGAATTCCGCCACTGCGTGCAGCTTTCCCAACAGCAATGGTATAATTTGGGAGAGAGACCCAGGCCGCTTTGGCACAGACCACTTTGTGTTGTGTGAGAAATGCTGTGATGGCTTCTGATCACTTTTACACCCCGCCACTTGTTACAAGAGGTCTCGTGCAAGTATCATTTTCTGCACATTCAGGCAAGCGCAAAATCCCAGTTCCCTGTTGAACTGCAGACCAACAGCGCCACATAAGTCTTTGCAAGTGACCATGGCGCAGGAACTGTGCAGGAACATCGTTGGCACAGACAACATTGATGCTGTGAATGTTGCACTTCACTCCCCGGCATTTGTTGTGGCAAGGTCCCTCTCGTGCATGCATACGTGTCTTCCCCTTGCTCTCATGCAAGCGCAGAATCCCCGTGCCCTTTCAAGTGCACAAGGCACCAAGCCCTTGCAAGACCATTGCAAAGAACGCAGATCTAGTAGATCCAAACTTGAAGCAGGAAGCTGTCAGTTCAACTGAGCCGCACCAACAGTTCCAGGGTGCTGCCTGACAGCTTTACTTCAGCTCGGCAACGAAAAAAGAGACGCAGCATGACCGACGAGCAGATTTAGAGCCTTTATGCAATTTCCCTGCTGTGTTGGGTGTTTGGGGTGGCTCCACATTTGAGTCCCATGCCCGATTAATTAGATTCCACACATCACTACTGAATGGCGGAAAGCCTTGTAACCCACCAACAGATTGGCATCGTCACCCGCGCACCAGGCTCCAGAGCGTCCTGCAACTCGGCCTTTGCGTCGTGCGGCGCGGGCGGCGGTCCGGGGGACTGTCCTTCCACCACGGGCCTCAACAGTTTCCTCGCCTGGTTTTTGGAGTGCCGGGATCAACTTTTGGCGTTTGTTTTCGAGTATGTGTTTGCATTCGGGTTCGTGGGCTCCACCTTGTTTTTCGCAGTTCTTTTGAAAGATCCCGGCACGCAAAAGCGGAAGAACGGTGTTTTTGTTCCGATCAACTATAGGAACAATGGTTCTTTCAAGTGCTTTGGCATGCCCAAGTTCTGCGGGAAGTCGGCCTACTTCTTTCGATGTGTCTCCCCGCGCTCGCTGGGCCCAGTGCTGTGTTGTGCGGAGCCACAAATCGTTTGTGTACTGTTAACCTGGGGGACGAAGCAACCCAAGCTCTTCAGATTCCAAGGGCGTTGCTAGTGCATAGTCTCGCACTGCAAGTGGGGCTCGCTTCGATTATTTGTGTTTCACCAGTGTTCACGATAGGCAGGGTCATTCAACTGGTGAACATGTTTGTTTGGTACAGAATGTTTGAGCTTGGATTGTCACCATCTCAACAACCTCACAAATAGCAGTTCCATACACTATTGTGACAAACTTGTTTTGACATGTTTGTGTTGAAGCTTGTAGAATTGATGAGAGGGTTCATACATACCAACTGACCTGAAGTTGATGGATCTATAATGTAATATTGATATCTACAACTTCGGGAAGAAAGTGATGACCTTCCCCACCCCTGCGTCAGCACAGCGATTTGGTGAGGCCAGGTGGTGCGCTCCTACGCCACACCACCACAGCAATTGCTCTTCTTGGGCAAGGACGGTTAGACGGGATGGTGGAGCGGTCCGAAGGCTTGACCATAGAAGGTCTCGAAATCATTCCAAAGGTTTTTGTTGAAGCCAACATGATATATTATATTATCACTTTTCGTGGCAGGCGCAGTACTTTGCGCGGGCTTTGTGCAATTTCGTGGCAGGCGCAGGGCATTGTGAGGTTGCAAGGTGTGGCGGAGGTGACATTTCGTGGCAGGTGCAGTACTTTGTGCG